GGTAAAAGATATTTCCAGAAAGCAGGGGGCGTGACACTAGTCACGTGACCTCGCTGACGCAACAATATATTTTTTAATCGAATTAGTTTGGTATCTTTCTGTAACTAATTTGAAAATGCGTTTTTTATGAAACTTAGAATTTAAACAGACATGACAACGACAGAAAAACGTAGATAATATAAAAACCCAAATGCAAATAAATAAAAAAAAATTGAAAGAAATGTTTGATTATTTATGTCATTAATATGCAATCAGATATTTCAAGTGTATTTGTAATCCGAAACAAATAAACATTAAATGCATTGCTATATACAGCTTATTACTCTGCCTTTCTCTCGATTGTAGAAATGTATTTATATTTTAAGAAATAGTACGAGTAGAACCTTCATCCATGTTTTCATTTATCTTATCAAGACACGGTTCTCGTACACGCCAAGTTGTATTACTTTTTTTTTGCGTTTAGGCCGTGTAATGCATAGTACAGGCAACACGAAGCTCCACACTTGTTCTTTAGGGATCACTGAGAATTCTAAATATAATTCCAATTAATTACGCTTGCATCAACTATAAACACTGAACAGTGTCTTTAAAATGTGTGTGTGTGTGTATTCCTTTGTATTATTTATTATTAATTATAGATGTACTCTTACAGGTTTATATATATATATATTAAAAAAAAAAACTCAACAAAACTGGTGCCAGTTCTGTGGAGGTCCAAGAGTTCAGATTGGATTTTTGCTGATTTAGAGATTATTGAGTTCTTTGTTAGTGTTTGTGTTGGTTTTGGAAGATAAGACTGCTAAAAAAAAATCGGATAAAGCAGTCAAGAATACGAGATAAAATGAAATAGTGTTGTAGTCTGTCGTATTACCGAATAATAAACCAAGATTCCTGTTATGTTACTGTAATCGTTCCAGTATGTTGCCAGACGTGGCATACTTTTAGTGCTAAGTTTAAATCGGCGGATATACGAACGTGAACCATTTTTAAATGATTACACTCACACTGGATGCTACTGAATTACGTTCTTGCACCGAAAAGACGCCTGGGAAAAATTAACTTGATTGCTAGCAGGGTGTTACCACACGAACATTTGTACTTACGTTTACGATTGTTCAAATGTTTTCAAATTATTTTATAGTGGAGTAAATACAAACAAGCTTTGCTTTAAAGAAAAATTGTACGCCCTATCAGTGGCATTGTCAGCCAGTAACAATATAACATTCAATGAAATTTAGGCAAGTAGAGTAGCAAACACCTCTCAATCTTTAAGACCAATAGGAGTAAAAACCCTTCACTAATTTTCTTAAGTTCAACAAAATTTCCACTCGGAAATATTTCTAACCAAAAATGTTAGATGAAGTTAATATTCAAATAGGCGTTTAGGTACCAAGGCGTATAAAAATGATGAAATAAGACAAAAATAGACGTTTTTTGTTCGTTGGTAATTTCAAAAATAATAATTACACAACAAGTATATTAGCACGCTATTTTGTTCTAAACAGACAATATTTTTTTTATAGATGGGGTTGACTGCAGAATGTTATATTTAACGCCAACTTGTTGTGAGGTAATAAACAAATTATTGGAAGTAACATAAAGACATATGGTAAATAAAACCGGTTTGTAACATTCAAACGGTATTTACTTTGCAGATATGTATGCAAATGTATTTATTTGTGTACTGGTAAGTCAAGTCAATGTTTGAAATTGCGTAAGATGGTGAAACTTTCATGGTTCTACGGTAGTGACTAAGTTTCAGTCTTATGCTTGGTCGATTACGCAAGTACGATTTCGGGTTTCTGTGAGACCCAGTTCTGACGCTGTCGGATAACAAAGTACACTGACGGTTCGCTATTGTCATAAATGCCGACTCTCGTGCAGAAGAATAATTACGATGAATCGTGTAAGATAATTGTGGTAAACCTCAGTGATGAAGTGTTAAAGATCCGAAGCGTGTTCCAATTTGGTAAAATAATAAATTATTGACAGTAACTTTTAGGGTTCGTTTTTACTTACTTTAAGCTTAGTTACTCCAAATATAATTTTCACGAGTTATATACTCACCAGTAGTGTTTTCCCAAGGTCCTTAAAGTTGCCTGGTTAGAGTTGTAAAGATGAATCTGTAATATACATACATTAATCGACTGTGAACGAGGAAGTAGAAGTTGAGAAAGCGTTAAGAATGCAAACGAGGAAATTTTGGTTAAATATGAAAAGCCTAACAAAAAGAAGCAAGTACGGATGTTAACCGAGGTGTTAACTGATGTTACAAGTGTTTGATAATGTAAGAACAGGATCAGGTTGAAAGTAGGTATTTGATTAGCTACGAAGTTTTATCTCATACATGTCTAGAGAAAAGATTTCTCAACCCAGCATCTTATTTTTGTAAAATTCAAACAATACTTGAATTATTTGTGCAAAGAATCTTAACTTGACAAAGCCTTAAATTTAGCGCTTAATTATTGTTACTTACAAGTAATGCATTAACCATGCAGGGTTATGTAAATACTAAGAACCCATGAGTGAAAGCAAAGGAGGATATGTTATAGTACGTTAACCACACCATATCTGTCATAACCAGTGCCGACGAGGCCTTTCGCCAATACCAATAGTACTGTAAATTACAGTTCGAATGGATTTTGGGTGGGATACATGACCTTTTATGTGTTAACTTCCGATGTTTCTCTTGTCCACAAGACTCTAATTATGCAAAAAATTGGAAAGATACATAAACAATATAATGGGATATTCAGTGCTTTCTCCTTCCTGATTGTGGAGGGTTTGTGATCCACCGAAACATGTAGAAGTCATTAGATAAGGCCTGGTGCCTTCATTAAAGTTCTTTGACGTATTGTGTAAATTTTAACTTTGTATTATTGAATTTTTGATAAATTATTTTTATATTTTAATTAATTTTACTATCATTCACAAGAACTGGCAAACCAGCAAGCTAATATCCTTGTTCTCGGGACATTTGCAGCATCAAACTTTTAAGGTACAGGAGTTTCTGCACTCGCCACACCGTATTTGTTAGTTACAACCATTTAACTAAATGACAACGATGATGAAATCTTGGAAGGGATTTTGGGTTGGAGATAAGAATCTCTCTTCATTAAATGACCTTTGATATGCTAACTTTCGATACATCTCGTGTCCCTGAGACTCCAAATGTCTCAGCCAACCAGACGCCAGGAAAGAGAGAGGCGTGGTTGAATGCAAAACTGTGAGGGCTTGCAGAGAGAGGGTTCGGTCTTTCGCTGACGTGAACGGTTAGAACTTGCGTCAGCAACTACAGCTGAAATCTGGAGAAGACCCGTGCGCAAATGCTTCAATTTTACGTATCTTTGAATGTACAAGAGAACGCGGTCGTCCGCTAGGTGCTCCAGTGTTTTGGCAGTGTGATTATAGTGGTGAGTTTTGGCCTCACGTGGGTCACTCTTGGTGTTATTTCGGAAATTCAACTTGCAGAGAGAGTTACGTAAGTTTTTGTAACTTTATAGATCTTGTTGTAGCATCGTATGCTACCATTTACTGTGCGTACTGAAATCCGTTTTGAATTATAGGCTTTAATTATCTGAAAGTGATTTTGTAAATATGTCCTCGCAAATATTTACACGTGATTAAATTAAAAAATATCGACACGTGACGTTTGCTGAAAAAGTTTCTTCATGCCCTTAGGTTACATATTAGTTTCGCTTTATTAGGAAAGAACTATCATATCCTCATTAAAATGTTAAGTTAATGGTTTCAAAACAACTTATAGTATTGAAAATATATTTCCCACCGTAAGGCCTGTTATTTTGTCTAATAAAATTACAGGAGCATCGGCGCAGAATTTTGTTTTGCTATCAAATTCATTTAGCAAAGCCAGTTTCTACTGCTACTACTAAATATTTTCGTAATTGGCCACATATAAAGTTGTATGTTAAAATAGTAATTATAATTATAAATGGTATTGTAAATAAATGGAATTAGTCTTAGGTTTTCTATAAAAGGAAGGGAGGAATACCTGTACTACTACTAATTAATCGCACGAGGACTACAAGTGTCGAGGCAGGCTAAGTTTCACCCAGTTAATACCTAATTTCAAGGCCGTTAAGACGAAAATATTTCTAAATCACATACGGCAGCTCTTTTGAACATTTGCTTGCGTATGTGACGAGAGAAGAGCCAACCCCCATAAAGCTATGGGTCAGTCATACTGTAGGTAGTATTTTTATTTGCGATAATTTCGTTATTATTCAGCTAAAATTTTGTACATATCGTATTTGGAAAGTGAGAAATCATGTTTTTTTTTTTTTAGTATTTTACTCAACCTGAAATTTTGTTATGGAATTTATTTACGGTACTTGCGTATGTAGATAAATTAATATCAACATTTCTCTGTAAATATATGTTCTAATGAACTAAAATCTCCCTCTCGTGTGTATAAAATGAGAGCGCCCTCGGTCATAAAAAACTGAATGGTCAAAACGTATAATACTTTGATTTTTTTTATGCTGATTTGAGACACCAAGAACAAGCTTGAAAACAGCAATGAAATGTAACCAACAGCTGTATACAAAATTGTACCATTTTTTAGTTGACCTTCATGTGTGTGTCAACCATTTTGAGCGTCTGATGGATGGATAGTGGTGGTGCAATCAAGTTTCGTATTTCAATTCATAATAACCAACAACGATAAATTTATATAGGAGGCACTGTAATCCTTTCTCCGTCAAACGATTTTAGATTGTAGTTTTTGGTAGGTCACTCAAATTAAGTTTAATTTATTCGTTGTGGGCTTTACTAAAACAAATAAGGAATTTTTCAAGTAGCGTAGTTTCCACTGAATTTGAAAAAAAGAAACAAATCTTGATAAAAATACATTCCTCATATACACATATTCTTCAGATTGTGTATATGTGTGTGTGTGAAATTTCACCAGTTGTTCATTTTTGCAGTTAATTTTACTTCAAGTCGAATATTAAAATCAGCAAGGCCATTTTTGCCACCGGCTATTTTTGGCGGCTTTAAGTTCCGCTCGTCGATAACTAAACCTGCCTTGTCATGATTCTCTTGCCTTTGCACGAATAACAATTCTTCGTTTCTGTAGTGACGCTGCAGTACTCCTCGAACTTCGTTCACGTGCCGTTAGAAAAGGGAGTGCGGAGCTCTACGGTTATTTTAAGACAAAACATTCTGCTGTTAAAGTAACAAGAATGCCCGCCTGAAAAAAAAAAGAAGAGGAAAACAGACTTAAGAATAAAAACCAAAAATATCACTAACACCATTTAATTACCGAGTTTAAGTTGCACGGTAAAGACAAACGCATTAATCTCATTGAAACCTCTCCGTAGTTGTGACGTCACTAAAATCTGTACTATTGCAGACTTGCAGTACACATTGTGAAAGGTAGTGAAGATGGAGCACGTATTTTTGCATATTAAAGAAATATTTATCCCCTTTTTGTCACTTTTTATAGTCAAAGGGGAGTTTTTCATAGTTGGAGAACATTATTTGTATCACAGAACTTAGGGTAACACAGTATGAAATGTTCGAATTTACAATAAAACTGTAAACAGAATAACACAATTCTCGAACTTCAGTTAAAACTATGGTTATATAATTCCACACGATATTTGTTCAGCATCGTCTGTAAACTCGTAGAAAGGTGAGGATTGGTTGTCTAGAATGGTTAGCTCAGCATTGATGTGGTTAAAGATAAATAAATCGTAAATTCAGTTTATTTTAATAGAAAACATTCCAGAAAAATATATTAGCTTTGTGTTAAATCTTGATTTCAGTATTTACAGTTTCATATTTTTTTTATATGTTGAAATGTGTTTTTATTTGAATTTGTACAAATATAACGACAATTTAAAATACCTTGTATACATTTTTCATTTATGATATGCAAGTATGTCAGTTTTAAGAACCGGTTTTATGTATCTAAAGGGGAAAAAAAAGAAAAAAAATCTTAACACTAAAGCCTCTGCACACTGTATTCCTATCACTGGGAGACAGTTACTTTATATAAACTATTTTTGATCTGTTTTGATATTGGCGTTTTTTACTGAATATTTAGCTTTTGAGCTTTTGATATTTCTGATAGTGACACTTTATATAATCTTTTTATCTTTTTACAATCATTGTAAAATGACTAACAATTTTATATGTATATATTATGGAATAATTTGAAAGTTCTTGTACTGGAATCTTTAATAATCAATAATATTGTGTGAATTAGAGGTATCCTTGAATTGTGGTGTTAATGCTACTAAAATCCATTTCATGCAGAACCAGTTAGTGTTTTTATAAGCTATTTCTGCTTGTAAATTTTTTAACTTTAATTTTCTTTTATGTTTTTTTTTAATTGCAGAAAGTCCAGTGTTTGTTTGTTTGCTACAGAAGAAGATTTTAAAGATTTATTTTGCTTGTGTCCAGTAGTAATCATGGTAAAAGATTCAGGTAGTTCTGATCCTTGTGATCCTACAGCTCAATCTCTCAATCAGGAAAAAAATATCAAGTCAGAAGATTCAGTTCTTCTGGAATGTACTGAAGTTTCTGTTTCAGATAATCTGACCAATGGGCCTCAAAAAGAAAGTTTATCCAATGGGCATGGACCTTCCACTGAGGATGCATGTGGTGTTACTATTATCAATGATTCAATGAATGGGCATTTGAGTAGCTCTTTAAATGAAAAAACACAACTGTCCATAAATGGCAAATCTGAAAGTGGTCTAAAAGTAAATGGATACATCGAGGAGGACATTGATGATGATGACGAAACAACAACACAGCCTTTAAGCAAACTAATAGTAAAATCTAAAAGCCCAGAAAAAGACACCAATGGTGTTACTGAAAAATCGGAAAGTCTGATAAAATTAGAAGATAATAGCAAACAAGAACAAGAATTTGTGTTTATACAAGACACTGGATTTACTGTGAAAATAGCTGCTCCAGGATTGGAACCTTTTGATGTTCAGGTTAGTGATTATTGTTATAACACTTGAATAGAATATGAAAATGTGTTTTTAATTAAATTCATCATGGCCTGAAAGATAATTACAATAATACAAGACAATGACACAAAATGATTATTTGGTGTGTGTTATTTATTTTTGTTTTATATGAAAGCAAATTATATATAAAATATAGTAATAAAATAATGTCTTCTGATTGATAATTACTCACTCATGAATTTGTAGATGGTTTCAATATTTGTTTTTCCAAGTTGATACAGTCAGTACTTTGTGAAGCAGTACTTACATCTTGATCATTTTCTACTCTTTGTATTAATAAATATAATAATAATACAATTGTAGGTGTAAACACCCTAGAGATAACATTAATGGTCTCAACCTAAGTGCTAATGAAACATAGTGAAAACAAAAATGAAATGTTTGTTTAATTTCGTACAAATTCTTTTTATGATCTGTTGGAATTTACTGACTATAACTTACTAATGACTCCACTTTAATGGGTTGCTTGTCATATGTTTTATGAATTTTCTGATTATGCCTTAATAATGGCTCCATTTTAATAGACTGTCATATGTTTTATGAATTTATTGCCCATACCTAGAAATGGCTTTATTTTAATGGATTGCTTGTCATGTATTTTATGTTAATGAAGTCAAGCAGTAGCAGTTATTTTCAGATTTTGTAAACCTGTGCTACTTCAATGAATAACCTGATTGTTTTAATTAAGAATTATTAATATAAACATTTTTATGACTGTGTGTGTGTGTGATTTTCATACTGAATATACAATTTTTGCATGTCTGCTATGTGGTTATTTATTATACACGTTTAAAAACTTATAATTGTACTCAGGTGTTTATGAATAATGTTACATAATTCACATTCGCGGATACATATAAATTCTTTACCATTTTTTCTAAAGCTAAAATATTGTAGACCGCATATCAGTTGTATCTGATGTGGGTCTACAATGGAACAGTTGATTTATTAATGTATTTAGGGTTTGTAACGATAAATAAAAGTTATAAAAGTAGGTTGATCAGGTTCTCAATTATAAGGATGCCATTGGCAATTATTTCCAGATTATTTGAAATACATGAAATTAAACGTAAATTTCCTTTTCATATTTCCAATGACTTACATTTTTGAAACCTGGAAAACATAAGTACATTCCAAACATACTACCATAAAGATAGATACGGGATAATTTAATTCTTATTTGTGCTTCATGAATACCAGTTCACCTGTTTCAATGCTATTTATTATAAAATTATAATACTTTTTTATATATATTTTTTTTTGAGTAATCTGTACAATTTTCTTAAATTATGAACCAATCTATAGGCATAATGGTTGTGTGTTTGGTCTACTTTAGTACTGCCTTTTTATTTTGATTATTCTGTTATATGTTGGGCCAATTTTTTATGCCACCCTCCCAGATTCTAAATTATGTTTTGAGCAGTGCCATCTATGGAAAGTTTGTGACATTAATGTTTATTTTGAGCACACAAAAAACTGTCTGTTTTACAAAAATGTTAATTAGCAGTGTGTAATGTCTAATGTTGACATTCTACTTTATTGGCAAATAAAATTTACAGTTAATTATCATAAGAAGAAACAGCTCAAACAAATTGAAGTTCTGTGTATGTATGTCTGGTAAGTGAAAGATTATTTGATCATGGCCAACTTGCAAATGCCAAAACCAATAGAACTGTTAAACACACAAACTTTTACATCGGAACCATGTCTTTTACATTGATTAAGATAATTATTAAGTATATTTATGCATTATATGAGCTATTCAAGCTAAAGTTAGGATAAGAGAAATGCATCATTATTTGATTTAAAGTGTTTATGTATGTATTTTATGTGTAAACTAGAAGTCAGAAATCACTATTGTTAAAATTCTGGAAAATACATCACTAGATATAGTGTTTCAGCTTATGTCTTTTTCAAGGGCTGATATTAACTTCTGAGATAGATCTAACTACTGTAAATGTTTTATTTCCTGGGGTTTGTGGTCATATTTTTAATAATAAAAATGCCTTAGTAACTTAAAAAATCTAACCCCAAGAGTTGGAGTGCTATATGTTGCAGAAATAACTTATCAACACCCTGTTTCTAAATGTAGTAATGGCATTTTTTTAGGTATGTATTAACAGAATGGATTTTATGTATTATGTACTTATTATAAACATTAAAGGAAAATCTTTGTGACATTATGGTTTCTAGTATCCCTGTATATTTAAATTTTTGTGTGATTGAATATTAGGTGAATTAACAATGTTGGGAATTGAACCAAAACTAATTCTTAATTTCATTTCATTGTTGGGAATTGAACTAAAACTAATTCTTAATTTCATTGTTGGGAATTGAACTAAAACTAATTCTTAATTTCATTTCATTATTGGGAATTGAACTAAAACTAATTCTTAATTTCATTTCATTGAAATAATATACTAAAATACTTTGACTACAAATTCAGAAATTATTTTTATTATATTTTTCACCCATATAAAGAAAAACACATTTTTTTAAGTTAAAAAAAAATTGCATGGAAATATTTATCTTAACAATTTAGATCAGTGTTTGTTGTTTAAGAAAATTTATCAAGTTTTGGCTGCGAGCCTATCTTCCAGCAGTTATGTTCTTCACCGTGTACTTCCTTCCGAATAACAAATAGCACACTTTCATTTTATTATTTGGCTAACCTCCAAGCTGGTTGCATACTTATTTAAGGCTTGGAAGATTGGATACTCAGCTTTGAGAATAAAATTCTTTATTACCACCAAAGATTTCAAATTTCAATAATCAAGCTATTCTTTTTTTTATTTATTCAAACAGTGTGATGCTTACATCTTTTTATGTAACATTATACATAGGATGGAAACAACTTTGAACAAATATAGCTTTATGAAAAAATATCAGATAAAAAAACAAATGACACTATAAATGGTCAATCAGTTAAAATGAAGTCAGTCAGTTTTTTTGTTTTCAAAGATAGTGTTAAAGCTAGTTTCCAAGTGGTATGCTTATCAAGTGGGATACCAGTTTTTGATATTATTTCAACTAGAACAAGTTTTCTTGTGAACTAGTGTTAGTTGTTAGTGAAGAATGCAGAATATAAACATTCTTTCACAGCAATATATACATAAATTGTACATGTATATGTAACTCGTGTTAAATTGTCTCTTCAGTGCAGCATGCACAGCTAACAGTGGTTTACCTTTTTATTGTTGGCAAGTGAATACAATGAAATCCCTCTAAACCAAAAACTTCTGAACCAGACCAAAGGTTTGGTTTGAAGGGGTTTTGGATTTAGAGGGGGGGTTGCACTACAATGAAATATTAATTGATGAAGATGTGATTGTCCTCTGAGTGCTTAAATGTTGTAGATTGTCTAATCATTAACGGTAATGATATAAGATAATCCCTTTTATTTTAGAGGGGGGGGGTTCCACTACAATGAAATATTAATTGATGAAGATGTGATTGTCCTCTGAGTGCGTAAATGTTGTAGATTGTCTAATCTTCTTTAAGGGTAATGATATAAGATAGTCACTTTTTAGTTTTTAATGCCTATTGAAGTATACTGTTTATTTCACAGCTTAGAATAAAACTTTAATTTTATTCCCACCACCAGGCAGAAAATTTAAAATAAATATTTCATTTCACATACATTTTAAAATTGTCATTAACATATAACGTACATCATTTAATCTTTGCTAACAAATCACTATTTTTTTTTTTGCTAAGTTGTTGACATTATAAAATTTATATAAAAATGTACATAAGATTTGTGCTATGAGAAGGCAAAAAAAGTAACACTGCTCTCGCATGCATAAAATGTTCTCTATCTTTAACAAATTTTGCTCGTTAATGAAAAAATAATCAATGACTGCCTCTTTTACTTACAGTGCATTTAAGTTATTGAGCAATGTTCAGGTGACTGGTCATTTTCCAATGCAAAGTTTTTGAATTGGGTCATAAACTGTTGCATATGGCTCATGCGTGTAATAACTGAGCCATCCTCAGGTTCCTTGAATTGATAGGTAACTAAAAGGTTCCTTTCCTAGTTCTCTCTGTTATCTTCAGTTTTTATATCACAATCAGTGACACCACAATCCGTTGCTTGTTTCACAAATTCTTCCCCTTTATGAAACCATTGGTGCTGTACCATCAATCACGTTAAGTCTCTGAATGCAGGAAAGTAAAAGTGTATATGTCATGATCTTTTTTTTAGTTACATTGAAAATTTAATTAAACTTCTCTATCAATGTATGTCAATAAATATGGCATCAAAATATAGTAAACCAAATTTTATTATTTTTAAAAGTTAATTCATTAACTTCCAAATATTTTTAATAAATTGTTAAATCAACCAAGTCCGTATTGTGTTATGAAGCATAGTTGAGATTTACCCTATGTATTATTCAAAAATTAGGCAAGACAAAGCCTGTCTGTCTTCATTTTCAGGGATAAATTTATGTTAAAATGCAACAAAAATTTGTGAAACAACTTTTCTGGCTTCCAGATATGAGGAGGTTCTGATTTTCAGGAGGTTTTTTTTTTTTTATGCATTGAAAATAGAATGAAAAAAAAAAGGAATTTGAAAAGTTATACAGTTCTGGTTATTCTGGTTTTCTGAGGGTCCAGTGTTGAGTGGTTCTACTGTATCAATATATTGTTGTGAAACGTGGTGTAATATATTTTTGTCAATTTCATCTGTAAACCTATTAATTGTCCAAATGTGGGCCGCAGTTTCAAAACATTTGGCAGCTAGTTTTATTCACCGGAACTTCTACTTTATCTTTGTACTTATATTACCTTAAGTAAAACAAATGCTGCATTTCTTAAAATTAAAAAAATATATTTATGTGATGGAGTTCTTCAACCCCAGTTTCCTGTTATGTTGGCTTCATTATCTGTAGGAACTGGTTAGCCTGTGTAACCCTTTGTGGATTTATTGGCATAATACTGTCTACAATTATGAAACTTGTTCC